TGTTCCCTCCAGCCTGAACGTCTTCAGAGGAAGGCTACATCCTTCCTCTGGATCTCTGGCCACGCTCAGGCCGGCATCTTGTTGAAAGTTCCATAAAGACCGGCCCAGTGGACCAGTGAGCCATAGTCAGGGACACACACCCTCAGAGGAGTGCACAAATTGCCTGGGGACCAGGAGGTGAGGGGGCTGGTGCTGTGGCAGAGGAGGGGCCGGGGGGAGGGTGTGTACTGGGGACTGGGAGGTGGAGGGCGATGAGATCACAGACTTTTCAGCCACAGCAACATGGCATGAGGCAGTCTCCTGCTGAGATGGCTGGCAGGTCCTGGCAGGATGGCTTGGTGACCTCTTTTTGGGCACTCAGGCAGCTGAGATGTGGTGTCCCTGGGTGCATATTTTCTGCTGAAACCTTTAGAACCGATGAATTTCCTGAGAGGCCCAGGGTATGGCTCTTCCCTGTAGAGGCCAGTAGAGGGTCTTCAGGGAGTCCTCCTCTAGGGGACCCTGCATTCCCTGGACGTGGAGAAAGTGCTTAGATGGAGCCACTCCATCTCTCCATCTCATGGAGAAGTGTGGTCACCACGTTTAAGGCAGGAACCCTGACATCCAGTGGGAGGAGGGGGAATGGGGCCAAAGTCACAGGGGAGAGGGGGCGGGGGGGGGTCACCCAGGGGTGGGACTGACCCTCATGCCTCCCAAGGCCTAGCCCAGCGTTGCCTCGAGGTCTGAACTGTCTGCGCTGCAAAGACAGATATGATCCCTGCTTGACAGGGACCATCTGAATGGGAGACCCTTCCTATCGGGGGGGAGGGCCGCTGGTGGACGTGGAGACACATGTCCTCTTACAGCCTGAGGGAACTGAGGCATCCAAGGTCACAGTTTGAGGACTGGCTTCTGGGATGGGTGGGAGGAAGCAGGGAACCCTCTCCCCCTCCCGCCCCAGGCAGGGGTTTCCTTCTCACCACAGGAATTGGACTGCCCGTCTGAAGGCATTAACAAGGCAAGTCCAATCTAAATCAAAGCTTCCATTTCTCATCGGATTCGCAGCATCTTCCGTCCCTACCCCATGGGACTGACCCCACCATTGTGGGAAGAGCGTGGGTTCCATTCCTTCCCATTCCTGCTCATCTCTTCACCACCCCCCCCCAAGTGTGGGTCTTCTCCACCCCACCCTGCTGGGGCCAGGGAGGGGGCGTTACTGAAAGGGGCAAAGTGGCCTTGGTGCCCCCCATGTGACAGCTTTGCCTCCATGTCCCCCCCTCCACTGCAGCCCACAGGGCCTCTGCGCTGTCCCTGCTCCTGATATCAGGTGGGGCGCCCCCCCAGCTCTCTCTCCTGGGGCCTCCCGCCCTGGCAGGCAGCCCTCCTGGCATGGTTCTTTCTCGATGGCCTCAGAGGTGTGCTCTTGGCCCATGAGCCAAACAGCACCGACCTGCCATGCCAGGGGTAAGAGCGCACGCCACACCCCCTCCTCCCTGTCCTGCATTGGTGGGCTCCCCCGGCCTCGGCCTCAGCTCCACGCGTCCCCCGCAGCCCTCATCAGGCTCCCCAAGAACTGTCCTTCCCTACTCTGAAAGCAGCGAGGGGAGGCCCACCAGGGTGAGATGTTGCCCTCCCTCTCCCTGTCAAGCCCAGTCCTGCTGTGGCCCTTTGGGCAGACCCTCACTGGGAGGGAGCGAAAGGTCCAGCCTTCTCTTAGGAAGCTGGAGGTGGGAGGTGGGATGGGGGGGCCCAGGGTGTCCAGCAGACCCCAAGACCAGCTCATGAGAGCCCCTGGATATGGACACAGACACTCCGCCCTGGGGCAGGGGGCCCTGGACCCTGGAAGGGTGAGCAGCAGCCACAGGAGGCCACAAGCTCCCACCCCTCAACCTGTCTCTTCTTGGCCTGGCCTGCTGCCCTTAGGGAGTTTGGTTCAGATGTGGTGCTGCCAGCAGAGGGGGTCTCCTGACATGCCCTGTGGCTGCCTCCCTGCCCCTGGCAGAGCCCCAGGCCCAGGTCTAAGGGACTTCCTGGGGGCGGGTCTTAAAGCTAAGTTGGGTCTCAGCCCCACCCATTGATGGTGGGGTACTGGCCTGGCATGGAGGCAGTCACCCCTCCTCCCCACCTGCCCAGATCCTTGGTGGCCCCAGGCCCCCAACTTCCTGGCCCCCCCAGGGTCCCAGCACCCCACAAGGCCTTTGCTCATGTTCCTGTTGGTGACTCACTGTGGCTAAGGAAAAGATTGTTTCTATTCCTTTTTAATTTTTTTATGGCTTCTATTTTCCCTGGCAGAGGATGTTGGGCCCAAATCCCATCCATGTGGGAGCCAGCTGAACTCGGGAGCCGTTCCCAGGGAAGTGACGTTCCACAGCCGCCTCCAGCCTTGGGCCTCCCTGCTTGACACTCTCAACTGGGGGCAACAGAGCAAATTCCAAGACAAAGTTTCGAGAACGATGATTCAGAGGCTCGCAGAGGACATTTATGGGTAAGAGCTTGCTTCAGCCTACTGGACCAGCCTGGGGACACACGGCAGGGCGAGGAGGCCTGACTGGGGGAGGGGTTCTGAGAACCCAGGTGGACTTGGTCTCTGGGAGGACATGAGAAGAGTGGGGAGCTGGTGGGTTGTGAGTGCTGAAATCATGCTAGGCACAGCACATGCACGATCCCCTTTGATCCGCACCGTGAGGGCAGGGGAGACAGGTGGGGAGCAGTGAGGTTACTTGCTGTGATCAGATGGCCAGGAGAACAGAGCTGGGATGTGACCCTAGGGACCAGCTCTTGACACGGTCCCACTGCTTTTTAAGTGTGAACAAGGGTGAGCCAGTGCAAAGTGAAGGAAGGGAAAGGAAGAGGTGAGAGGAGGCAAAGCCCCCCTAGGTCCTGCTCCCAGTCCCGGGGCTGAGCCAGCAGCTAGCCAGGGCTGTGTGCAGGGCCTGGGTGCTTCTGGACCTGCTTTTCCTCTTTCTCTTTCCCCGGAGGTCCAAACTCTGCCTGTCAATCATCACAGGGGCTCCTGGGTTTTCACACCTGACTACTTCACTGGGCCAAACTCTCACAGATGACCTTGGCTCAGGGCTGACTGCAGCTAAACTTGACCCATGGGCTGCCGGTGTGCTTTTTCTTGCTTCCTCATTCCTTCAGGGAGGAATGTTTTGGGAGCTCTGGCCTTAGGTGTGAGCTAAGGGCCAGCCAGTGTTTGTTCTTTGAGAAGCCAGGCACACATGTCATAACTCCCTATGCTAGCACCCATGACAGACATTACTAATCGACCCTGGGATTCTCTGACCTATGCTGGCACCCATACAGACATTACTGATAGATCCTGGGATTCTCTGACTGTCCAATCTATGTGCCCCCGGGGTGCACCTGGTAGCTGGAGCTATTGTAAACAGTTTTTAAAAACTGTATTCTGATAAGAGGAAGGAGAGAAATGCCTGTTTGTCCATGTTGGGATCTCAGCTGGTGGGAAAGCAGCATATCCCTAGAGGTGAGGCAATGTTCATTGTGGGAAATGGTAAAAGATAAGCTGTAGGGGAGGGGACCTGACCCCAGATATTTGTGCCTCCTGTTTGGGTGGCAAGTGACTTTCCACGGCACATCCCACCACACAGCTTCATTGAGTTAAAGGCACACATCCTCTCTCCCTAGATGCTCCATGTCCTCAGGGGCTGTGCCTGATCTCCTGTGCACTTGTGGCCCCCACATCTCCCACATGGAGCTGGGCTCACAGATGTTGCCCCTAAAATCTTCCCTTGATCTGACCTGGCTTCACTTGAGGCTGCGCTATCTGCTTGAGAGAGAGGCCAGATAAGCGGGATGCTGCCTCCCACCTCCTTGCTGGGTTTGTAATCTGGGATGCCGGCATCCCTCCCTAGGGTGCTGGGAGTGGCATCCCTCCCTAGGGTGCTGGGAGTGCCGGGGTGGGCAAGAAGCCTGTGAACTTGTGTGCAAATTGCTGTGTGAGTGCTGAGTCCCTCCACACCCCTGACAGCCCATTCCTATGAATTATACATACAATTTAATGAAATTTGAAAGGAATCCCCTCCCTCCCTGCTCCATCTCTGCCTCCCTCCAAAGTTGGCCTTGTGTGCCAGGACCGGGGAGCAGAGGGGACCTACATGGGGGCTCCTAGCCCCAGCAGAGAAGCCGTCCTGCCCTGAGGGCAGTTTTGCACCAGACTCTGTCACGAGTGAGTGAGTTCCCAAAGTGTGGTCCCTCCTTAGGGTGGGGCTTGTCATGGACCTGGGAGGTTAGTTGGGTGTCTGAATGAAGGCTGGTGACAGTTTGCAGAGCTGCCAGGCCAAGGCTCCAGAGAAAGGGTAGGATGGGTTGCCCAGGCGCACTCACGACCCTTCTGAGGCCGGAGATGGAGAGGGTCCCCGAGGCCAGACTCTGCCGCTTAGCTATCAGGGTTCCCGGTCACCTCCGACGGGCTCGGTGGCATCTCCTCTCCTGGTCCGGGTGGCTTGGGGGCGGTGCCATGGACGGAGTGAGGCAGGGGTGTCGGCCACCTCGGACCTGCACCCTCAGGACCTCCCATGCTCCCAGGCCCTCCTTCCTAGGCGCGGGCCTCCGGCCCGGGACACCGCCCGAAGTTCCCGCTTCGGAAGTGCCCAGCGCGCGGCGCGGGGACTGCTCCGCCCCCCGCAGCCCCTCCGTCCACGCCCGGCTCCTCCTCCTCCTCCTCCTTCCCCCGGGGTTGGGGAACCGGCTCCGGAAGCCCTGGCGCCCCCGCCCCGGCCGCCACTGGCGCTTTGGAGAGGGCGGTCCGCTCGGGAGCGTGCCACGCGGGGCCGGAGCTCTCAGCCGCCGCCAGCGCCTCGGAACCCCTGGACCACCCCTGAGCCCCCACTGACCCCTGAGCCGCTTCCCACCCCCGCGCCCCACCCCGGAGCCCCCCGCCCTTCCCTTCCCGGAGCGCCTCGCGCCCCATCCCGGAGCGCCTCCCCCGACCTCCCCGAGGCCCCCCTCTCCGGAGCCCCTCTCCCCGCGCCCCTGCCCTCCGGGGCCCCCCACGCCCCTGCCCCCCGGAGCCCCCAGGCCCCTGCCCCCCACGCGTGCCCTGGCCATGGCGGCTGTGCGCGGGGCGCCCTTGCTCGGCTGCCTCCTGGCGCTGCTGGCGCTGTGCCCCGGGGGGCGCGCGCAGACGGTGCTGACTGACGACGAGATAGAGGAGTTCCTCGAGGGCTTTCTGTCGGAGCTGGAGCCCGAGCCCCGCGAGGACGACGTGGAGGCCCCGCCGCCCCCCGAGCCCACCCCGCGCGTCCGCAAAGCCCAGACCGGGGGCAAGCCGAGGACGCGCCCGGGGGCGGCCGGAGAGGGTAAGAGTCCCGGGCAGGGGTGGCCCGCCGCGTGATGGGGAGCCTCGGGGCGCCCTGCACCTCAGGTGAGAATGGCGGACCTCGGCAGGGTTTGGCCGCTGCCCAGTCTGCCCCGCGTGAGGAATGGCTCGGTAAGGCACCAGAGAGCCCAGATGTCTGGCGGGACGCTGTGCCAGGCAGAGGTCAGGGCTGGCTTGTAGCCCTTTGGGCGTGGAGGCTCCTCCAGCAGGTCTGCTGTCTGATAGCTTGAGTTGTCCCACTCCTTCACCCCTAGCCCCCAGCCCCCCAGAGGGACTAGGCTTGAGTCAGCAGGGGACGTGGCTGCCCCCCCCCCCCAGGTCTCTGTTGTGAACCACCCCACTGTCCTAATGCGGCCACTCAACGTGTTTGTGGCACACACTGGCTGTGCCCACACCACTGCCAGAGTTCCAGCCTCAGGCCTTCCCTGGGAGGAGTCCCCAGCACCCTCCTGCCTGGCCTCCTCCAGGAGCACAGAGGCAGGTGAATGGGTTGCAGAAGACCCCCTCCTGTCAAGGCTTCCGGGAGCAATAGGCAGTGGGTAGTCCTGGGTTATTGTGAGAATTGAATGAGGTGATACATCACCAAAGCATTTAGCCCAGGGCCTCTTACATAATCAGTTGTCAATAAATCTTAGCTGTTTTTTGTGACCTTCTGGGGGGTGCCAGGGGTCTTGTTGATCTTTCTCTCCTGGGAGACTCCAAGGCACCATCCATCATTCCTGAGGTCAGCAGCCCCTCTCCCATGTCCCTCCTCTAAATCTTTCCTGGCTCCTCCCCAACTCCTGGGGGACAGGTCCTGGGACCCACTACGCCTCCCCCACCCCCTCTAGCTCCCATTCCATGCTGCCGTCCCGGCCTCTTGGATGCTGCTGTGGCAGCCCTGTTTCTCCTGTCTGTCTGCATTTTGTAAATTTTCCTGTGTTTCAGCCTTGTGGCCCCAACCCCACATTAAATTCTCGACAGCATTTGCTCAGGGTCCTGGAGGATTCCCACAGGCGGCCCAAGCCCTGCCCCTGCTTCCTCCCCTAGGCTCTGAGATGCTGGAGCAGCTGCAGCCCCTGCCTGTCCCTCTGTCCTCAGTGTGGCCCCAAGACCCCCATTGGTTATGACTTCCAACCCACCCCAGACTCCTTACTTCTGGTTAGGGGATTGCCCCCGAGTGCCCCTTTTCTTTGAAGCTTTTCTTGCTCCTGCAGGGAGCTTCTGGGAGGCCCCGTGCCCTGTACTTTGTGTGGTAGTTGGCAGGGATGAGACCCCTCCCTTCAGACTGGGCGCTCCCCCAGGCCTGGGTGGCTTAGTCACCTCTCTGCCCCTCCCGTGCCCAGCACAGAACAGCGCTTCCTGACTGGCCGAGTGGACATGTGGGGAAGGAGGAGATTGTGAGGGGCCCCTGCTGAGGTTTTGGCAGGTGGGAGCTGACTACCCAGGCCAAGATGTGGTGACGGCATAGACTTGCAGACAGAAAGCCTGGGTTCCAATCCCAGCTCTGCCACGAGGGCAAGGGACTTAACCTCTCAGTTTCCTGCCTTGGGAAACACAGGACTAACAGGAGCCCCTACTGCCCAGGTCATGGGCACCTTGGGGGTGCCACACGGGGTGGAGAACGGGCTCTCTGTTGATTTGACCTAAATCTGTATCTTGGACAGCGCCTCCAGAAAAGGCCAAAGACAAAGGGAAGAAAGGGAAGAAGGACAAAGGCCCCAAGGCCACCAAGCAGCCCCTGGAGGGGTCCCCCAGACCACCCAAGAAGCCGAAGGAGAAGCCACCCAAGGCCACCAAGAAGCCCAGGGAGAAGCCACCCAAGGCCACCAAGAAGCCCAAGGAGAAGCCACCCAAAGCCACCAAGAAGCCCAAGGAGAAGCCACCTAAGGCCACCAAGAAGCCTGTGACCAGGAAGAGGCTGCCCACCCCGACCCCCTCAGAAACCCCGTGGTGGCCACTACCCGCACCCCCCGGCCCCGGCCTCGAGGAGGAGCTGCCCCAGGAGGGAGGTGTGTGCGGGGTTCTTCTGGGGCTGTGAGGCTTTGATCTGCTGGGCTGCGGGGGGGAGGGGGAGGGGGAGGAGTGAGGGCGGGTCCCTAGGACCCACTTTCTGCAGAGCCTGCGGGCCCTCTGGACAGGTTGGACTCTGGGGCCTCGCTGTCGTGAACAGGGCAGTCCGTGGGAGCTCCACCAGTGCCGCTGCCTCCCCTGGGTAGAGGAGGGCTTGGTGGCCTCGTGGGTGGGGCTTGCTTTCCACTGTCCCGGGATCTGTCCCCTGGGTCCCCCCTTTTAAAGTCACCACCCCCTCCGCCCCCGTGTGTCACTGGGCTCTGAGCCTGCAGGGTGCCCTCCTGCTGGGGCAGCTTTGTGGCAGGGCCTCTCAGACAACAGGGCCTGGGCTCCCCAGAAAGCCACCCAGCTCTCTGACCCCAGGATGCCAGCTGTGTGCTGAGGGCCAGAGCAGCTCAGGCCTCCTGGGAGGGAGCCAGGGCCTCAGGGGTGTCAGGAGGACCCAGGTCCTATGGAGGCTCAGCGTGCAGCCAGCGGTCAGGGCAGGGCTCCCATCCAACTGCTTCTGGGGTCTGTGTTGCAGGCGGGGCCCTTCTAAGTCCCTGGCAGGGTCCGGGAGGAGAGACTGATGTGGAGAACCAGCCTGGTGAGTGGGCGCCATCCACTGGGCCTCAGGTGCCAACCGCCCTGGCTTTCTGGGGTGGGCCGGGTGTGGGGTGTCAGTGAGTGTCTTCAACGAGGCGGCCACAAGCATTTCCCCCCAGAACTGGAGGAGGAGACCGAGCAGCCCACGCTGGACTACAACGACCAGATAGAGAGGGAGGACTACGAGGACTGTGAGTAGGACCCTCTCCGCCTGGACCCCAACCCCTGGCCTGGGGGTCCACTAATGGTCCACCTGGAGGCCCCACTCTGCCAGCCCTGCTGCCCTCTGAGGAGGGCCTTGGCCTGGCTCAGAGCTCACGCTCTCCCCAGTTGAGTACATCCGGCGCCAGAAGCGGCCCAGGCTGCCCCCCAGCAGGAGGAGGCCCGAGAAGCCTTGGCCTGAGCGTCCCGAGGAGAAGGCCGAGCCACCCGGGCCGGGGCTCAAGGCCCCAGAGGAGGAGGAGGAGAGGATCGGTAGGCTGGGGGCAGATGGGGAGGGGGCACTGGGGAAGGGGGGCTCTGGCCCACCCCTGCCTCCCACCTCCACAGAGCTGCCTCTGAAGCCGCTGCCGCCCCTGCCGCCCCCCGACTATGGGGGTGGCTACGTGATCCCCGACTACGATGACAGTGAGTGCCCACCACACCCCAGGGTCCAGGGCCAGGCCAACCACCTTGGAACTCCAGCTTGGTGGCCATGACCTCGCTGCCCTTGCCGCCCCCGCTCATTTCCTGGTCGCTGTCTCCCGACTTGCTCCTCCCCCATGGTCCTCTCTTCCAGCCTTTTCTTCGAGAGCCCCAGTGGTCGCCTCTCTGTCCCTCCTGCCTCCAGTCCTGCCCACCTCCACTCGCCCCACGAGACTTCCACCCCCTCAAGGCTGCGGCCTTCCTCTCCTTCCTGCTCCTGGCCCTGTGCATCCGATTCCCCCCTTCCTGGGCCTCGGGCCCTTTCTCTGCCCCCAGGTCCCCATCAACTCCTCTAACCCTCAGCTCCAGCTCAGCCCTCAAGACCACCCCCTTCCTGGACGTAGGTGCCAGTTGTCACTTGAGGTGTGTCCTGTGCCCACGTCCCACTCCCTGCCCAGCCTTATCCCGCCTTTCCCCAGGCCAAGCCCCACTGCTGGGTGAGGCTGGTGACATCTCCAGGGTCTTGTTCACCCCACCTATGCCCAGGCAGCCTCCTCCTCCAGGACGACCCTCCCTCCTCATCTCAGCCTGTCTAGATTCTTCAAGGCCCACCCTGATCTCATTCCTCATCTTGTGCTCCCTCCTGCCCAGTCCTGCCCACTGGGCTCCTGTGCACCCAGGACCTCTGGCTCACGGTGTGGGGCCCTAGAAGCAGCTCTGGGCGTTCTCATTAGGGTTCTCCCTCCCCGCAGTGGACTATTACTTCCGGCCTCCCAAGCCCCAGAAGCCCTACCCGGAGCTAGAGACAGACGAAGAGAAGGAGGGGCTGAGTGAGTGAAACCAAGCTATTCATACCCCCAGCCGCCCCAGCCCACCCCACCCTGACCCCCATCCCACTCCTGGGCCTGCGGTCAT